ATTGGTTGTGTATTGGTTGTGTATTGGTTGTGTATTGGTTGTGTATTAGTTATATATTGGTTGTATTGGTTGTGTATTGGTTATATACTGTATTGGTTGTGTATTGATTATGTATTGATCGTGTATTGATCGTGTTGTTGTTGTCCCACAGAGAGTCAGTCAGAATCGGAGCAGATGGCACCAGAAGCACAAGACCTCAGCAGCTTCAACACCTCCAACGACTCAGGCTCCGCCCCCACGTCGGATAGCCCCGCCCCCTCGGACCAACAGGAGGGGGATTCAGCCCAGTCGAGCCCCGCCCACAAATCAAGCCGCGGTTAGTCCATCGGGGGAAAAAAGACTTTAATCGATTAGTCATATAATTAAAAGTTAATCTGCCATTTGTTTCCAGAATATTTGGGTTTTGTTGAACTTCCAAAAGCTCAGAAATTTTCTGACATTTAATCGACTGTTGATCAAGAAAATAATCTACAGATTAGTTGATGATGAACATAAAGAAATGTTTTCATTCAAAGACTAAATTCCTGGAAGATACATTCTGGGTTAAATGTACACATTTCGATGTAGATGTTTTTAGGATGTCTGTTGACGTGTTATTAAAGGTTTCGGTTCTGAAATATGGTTTTACTGCATTTTGTTCCCGTCTCTCACATTTCTGCTGCAGACGATCTAATAAATGCATAAAATGTCCCAAAAAAACTTTATTTCAGAGTTTTTTGAAACATAATTGGAAGTTAGGGGTCATATTTAATGTTATTTGTATTACAGGACCTTTTATTTATTATTACACACCTTGATTTAGTTGCATTATTGTTCTTGCTGCAGGTTGCAGTCCGGGTGCAGACCAGCAGGATTCAGACGACTCAGAGCAGCCGGACCAGCAGGGGGCGCCAGAGACCAGAGCAGCACCGGGGAGACATCCTGCACAGAGCAGCAAGGTAACGTCACCTGAGCTTCACCTCATCAGAGTGTTTACCTGCACTCAGACACACCAGGTGAGACGTAAGAACCTGGTTTACACGTAGCTCATGTGTTTACACGTCCACAAAAGGATCTGACGTTTAAGGAATCAGCTTTAACCGGATAATGAAGTGCATATAAACACACTTTGTTACCTCTTTATGCTTTCACGCTAGGGCTGGGCGGTATGACCAAAAATGCATATCACGGTATTTTGTAAGATTCTGGCGGTTTCACGGTATATCATGGTATTTTTTTTTTTGCGTTAAAGCATTAATTAATGAATGCCGAAAAAGAACCGGCCGGACAACAGGCCAGCGAGCGGTGAACAGCTGTTTGTGTGGCGTGTTTTCCGTTCCGTCACTTCCTGTTTCCTTCGCCTACATTCCCCTGGGTCCTAAGCCCCTCCATGTACAGCTTCTTATCACCCTCTATGTACCAACGTACATTTATAACAAATACCACACATATTACGGTAATCAGCGTTGCATATGTGTCTGACCTAAATACCTTTTGTTGTTCAGTCTGTGTTCATCCTGCATCGCTCTGTTCTGTTCTTTAATGTAACGTTACTGGAGCAACAGAGCCTCTCCCAGCTGTCCGCAGACTGTTGTTAGCGAGCTGTACCCAGCATGCAGTTCGGCAGTGAAATATTATAAATGTACAATTATTAGTGCTACAAATTGTTTATGTGTCACACACTGTTGTGTCGTGGTGTTTTGCCCTGTTAAAGAGCGTTAGTTGTGGGTTATTAATTGTTGTTATGAAGTTATAACCATGACTAGGGTTCCCTCTCAATACACTTAAGACAACTTGCGCCGACCACAGTATTCACAGTCAATTGTCTGATCCACACTCTGGAGCAGTAGGTAGCGGTAATGCACCAATAAGATGGATGCCATCTGCCGTAAAACTAGAAGAAGAAGAAGAAGAAGAAGAAGAAGAAGAAGAAGAAGAAGAAGAAGAAGTAGCAGCGCTCACAGCGGCGAACAATATATTTTGCATACAGAAGTATGACGGTATATGAAAAATTCATATCATAGCCCTATTTCATGCTCTTTAAACTTCAAACTTTTGCACATTCTTTAGTTAATATTTTGCACCTTCCATCCTCTTAGTTTTAAACAATACACAGCTCTTCTAATAATAATAAAAAAATATTTTTCTTTTTTTTGTAGATTTGCAAACAATTGTTTGTTCAAGATTTTTTGACTTGTTCTTTCTTCTCTTTTGCTCTGTTTATTGTGACCGTTATTCACCAAAACACCGAGAAAAGTGAAGTCAAAGCTTCAAGTGTTAAAGCTGCATTCTCTCTAGTGTCCACCAGGGGGCGACTCCTCTGGTTGTATAGAAGTCTATGAGAAAATGACTCTACTTCTCTCTTGATTTATTACCTCAGTAAACATTGTAAACATGAGTTTATGGTCTCAATCTCTAGTTTCAAGTCTTCTTCAATACAGCATGATGTTCATTTAGTACATTATGGTCCATTTAGAGTCAAACAGACCATAAAGCAGGGGATGCTTTAGGGCGGGGCTACACAATGATTGACAGGTCTGATTCTGATGAATCTCTTGGTCTCTGATGTTCTCTTCAGGTGGACAGCACAGACGATGACGACTGTCACAGCAACAAAAGTCTGGACCTGAACTTCGGCAAAAAGCTCATCGACTTCAAGCTCTCCACGTCCTCGGGCCCGGCACAGGAAGAACAACCTGCATCATCCTCCTCATCATCATCATCATCCTCCTCTACCTCTGCTCCACAAGTAGCACCAGAGAGCCAAGAGAAGGAGAAAGGAGCTACAGCCTCCTCCTCCTCCTCGTCCAGCAGCCCAGCGGCGAAGCAGCAGCCGGAGTACAAACACGTGTGTCGAGTGTGTAAGAAGAGCTTCCGCTACGCCACCACGCTTGCTCGCCACGAGAGGGCGCACCTCTCCGAAGAGACGCCGACGCTGCCGGAGGAGGAGAAGCCGTCGGCGAAAGAGGAGGCGAAGGAGAGCAAAACACCGACAAAAGAGGAGGATGAGGTGGAGGAGAAAGAGGAGGAGCAGAAGACGGAGGTGGAGATGGAAGAAGCAGGAGCGGTGAGCGAGGGAGGGGAGAGCGGGGAGTCGGAGGAGGAGGAGAAGGAGAAGGAGGAGAGGAGCGACGAGGAGGCTTCGGAACCAAAGAGTTTAGAGGGAGGAGAGGCGACAGGAAGACGACTGGACAAGAGGAAGAAGATCTGTAACGTCTGTGGGAAGAGATTCTGGTCTCTGCAGGACCTGACCCGACACATGAGGTCCCACACAGGTATTCATCTACTCATATATATATATATATATATATATATATATATTTTAACATTTTTGTTAATTTATTTAGATTATTTAAATGATTTTTTGTAATTTGATACATTTTTTAATTACATGTTTTTACACACACAGTGCCTTGTCTCTATTTGTATTTTCCTGCATGTCTTTATAATTTGTAGACATAAATTATTATTGTTATTATTATTTTTTTTGTCTGTTTTGGATCTTTCTGCATATAAACCCCCCTCCCCCCCTCCAGGTGAGCGACCCTACAAGTGTCAAACCTGCGAGCGGACCTTCACCCTGAAGCACAGCCTGGTTCGTCACCAGAGGATCCACCTGAAGCCCCGCGGAGCCGACGGAGCCTCGGCCGCCAACGACGACGCCAGCGAGGACGGAGACTCCTGCGCGCCGACGCCGCCCTCCACCTGCCCGCCGTCGGAGAACGAGAGCGAGAGACTCAAGGAGCTGGAGGAGGAAGAGGAGGAGATGGCAGACACGCTGGAGGAAGAAACCCCTGAAAAACAAGCTGGTGTGGATTCAGAACCACCAACGACCGTCACCACTGAAGAACCAGCGGAACTTCCTGCAGAGTCGACGCCACAACAACAACAACAACAAGAAGAACCCTCCTCCGACACGACTCCCAGCCAACAAGCTACTGACACAAAGACAACTACTAACGACGACGACGAAGACCTGAAGTCGACGCCCGAATCGAACGTCTCCAAAGACCCCTCCCCATCGTCCTCCGGCTCTCCCCCAGAGGAGTCCGCACCTGCTGCCCCAGCAGAGGGCTTCATCCAGGGGCTTCTGGACATCCACACCAAGCCCCCTCTGGAGCACATGCTGCCCAACGGAGAGCCTCCTCTGGTGGGGGTAGACTAAGGGTAAACCCCCCCACCACCACCCTGGCTGTTCAAACCAACGTCACCACAGTGCCATACGACGGACAGACGCTACACCATTGATGACGATGATGATGCAAAAAAAAAAAGCCCGGGAAAAACTTTTTTTGATAGAAAGACGAAAACCTTGTTTTCTTGAAGTGCCTTAACTACTAGTCCGACTTCTACCAGATGTTTTTTGCAAAATCTTTATCCGCATTATTACGGAGGGATGGATCTAATTTTTATAGCTTTTTATGATGACAATAAATTTGCATTATTATTATTATTTCTTTTTTTTGTGCGGGGAATCTATATTTCAGCAATAAAATTTAAAAAAAAGAATAAAGTTATGATTTATTATTGTTTGTAGATTCTGTTTGAGGATTGATGATCAACTTATGAGGCACAGAAGGAGACGGACGAAGACCGAGATGGACTTCTGTATTTAAATCACAGCTAGGCTCCGCCCCCAACATTTAAAAACCAGCTTCAGATCTACAGAGAGCGGACTAGTGAGCGGGGGGGAACCTGTTTTTTGTTTGTTTTTTTTTGTCCGCCAGCTTTTTGTAAAAATAATCCACCAGCCACTTCTCCGGCTCCACCGGCCGTTTTTAGATAATATTTTTGCATAAAATCAAACTGGTCGAAACCCAGTTTCACCAGCAACATGACGACTTCCACTGGTGGCTGGTGGCTGTTTCTTACTGTGCGACAAAAGGAAGCTTTTTTTGTAACTGGAATAAAAGAAACACCCCCCCGCCTCCTCCGTCTCTCTGCTGGCTCACAAAAAAAACACAAAAACATTCACGAACTTGTCGAAGTCGCATCTTTGTGAAATGGGGGGGGGGGGGGGGCAGATGTAGTGTTGATCATGTTTGTTTTTTAAACCAATCACTATTGATCCCTTCATCCCTCAAAGCCACCCTGTGAGCTGGTTTGTGTGTTAATATTTTCTCATTCATAATCATTCTCAGTTGATTCCATGTGTGTACAGAGAGTTGAACACCTGATGATATGATGAGTATTTTGTGTGTGTGTGATTATCAGTGATATTTAGGTGTAGGGAGGGGAATTGTTTTGTGGATTTTTTTTTTTCTTTTTTAAACTGAACAAATCAATATTTTTGTTGTGTGTGACTCCCACCTGTCTCTCATCATCGCCCCCTAGTGTTCATTTAGGGTTTATTACAGGGCCTCCAAGAGTGCTAACGTATTTCCGCGGCTAACACGTTACCCAGGTTCAGTTTACCTCAACTTCTGCTTTTTAACTGCAACCATTACAACAACAGACGAGCAGCTCTGTAGGCAAACCCTTTAAATCGTATGTCTTCCTAAACAGGGCTAGCGGGGCTAATTCTTTGCTTGCCCGGTTTCCACAGTGGGCCAAATCAGAGCTAGCCAGGGCTAACTCATTAGCATGGCTTCAAACACTGCTAGCCAAGGCTAACATGTCTAAAGTAGTTACTGGCTTGGCTTGCACGATGGCCCAGGCTAAACAAGCAGCTAACCAAGGCTAACTCAATATCAACAGCAGTGTGGAATAAAAATAGCAAGTGCTAAGTCATTGCTAGCCTGGTTAGTGCAATGAGCCTTAACACACACAAACACTGAGTTTATACAAGGGCTAACAGCTAGCTGTCGTTATTAGCCTGTGATGGCTAAATGGACAAGCTAACTAGGGCTAACTATCCAGACCAGACAAGTTACCCAAAACTACCAATGCCTTAACTTGCTTAATTTCTCTGGTACGGCCAGTTAGCCCTAGCTATCTCCTAGCATTAACCTTAGCTTTGTGCAGTGGGCCCTTTTATATATCAACCACAGACTCGGTTTCTAGCTAGCTAGGGCTAACTGACCAGTTGATCAAGCTAACACGTTGCTAAGTTGGCTAACTGCATTTCTAGCTAATAGCAGGTCTAGCTAGCCTCCTTCCAGTATTAATATTAGTATCTTGATTTGGCCCTGGACCGCTTTGGTACCGTTTGTCCATATTTAGCTCCACTTTCTTCTACGTGAACGTTAATTTGTGGACTTATTGTTCCTCTTTCCTGTCCATCCAGAGACAAACGGAAGAAACTTTTTCTACTACACGACAAATACTTTTTTAGAAACCCCTAAACGTGGTTATAGATTTGGCGGTAGAGACAATCAGTTGTGATTATCAAATGGAAAACAGATGAACATTTAAAAAAATGTAACCCCGCAGTCTCGGTATGATTTGTCGGTTGGATGAATGAATGGCGACGTGGAAAGATGGATGGCGAGTTTCGGGGGGGGGTTGTTCCTAAACTGTGTTACTCTGCTGCACACACAAACAGACACAAGGACAAGGCGCTTATTCCCCTTTGCACCATCCCAACCGGACAGTTCTGATCACTTATTGATCCTGATATCATGACCAGAGGGAGGCGGGTAGTGTGTGTGTGTGTGTGTGTGTGTGTGTGTGTGTATGTATGTGTGTGTGTGTGTGTGCGCATTTTCTTTGTCGTGTGAAGATGAATATAGCAAATTTCTTTTTCTTGTACATTTTTTTTATATATATATATATCAAGCAACCTCATAATCAAAAACAAATCGAACCTCAGTGGCTCATAACGGAACTGTAAAGCAGCGACGGGCAGCCAATGTAGTCGGCCAAATGGCGAGAAATATATTGAACAATTGGACCGACTCTCTGACTGACTGGACGCTGCTGTGAACTGGCACTAACAACTTCCAAAACTACTACTACTATTTCTACTACTAGTACTACTACTACAGTGGAATATCGCAACACACAATCAAGAGAGAAGAGAGCGAGAGAGTTACCTCTGGTTTGACGGGGCATCCAAACCATCTTCAGCATTACTAATCCCAAAGATGGTTAGCGCCTTAGCAAAAAAGCTACATTTTGGAGTTAATGTACTAAAAACATCAGCTCTACCTTTAAAAAGTTTGTTAAACCTTTCTGGAAATATTTGAATTGTTTTAGCAGTTGTGCCTCCTACTTCCCCGGAACATGCTAGAACTAGTAAGTAATAACATGCGGTTATTCGTTAGCTTGGTTGCTAACGGGACAAAACGTTCAAGCGTCCTACTTTGAAAAAAAAAAAAAAAGTTTTTTGTACCATTGATTCTTGATTTTGCTTTTACAAAGCAGTTAATACACCAACTGAAGAGGTTTTTTTAAGTAGATAATGCTACACAGCTAAAAAGTTCCGTTAGCTTTGTCCAGTTTCAGCTCTCCGCTCTGTCAGAGGTTAGCACTGTGGAAACAGTTAGCTATTGTGGTGAGATAGCATTTCATTTTTCATTTAACGTTCCTTTATTCAACCAGGTAAAAGTTTTGCTGCGTGTCAAAGTCCACCAAAATTGAAGCCGACGGTAATTTAATCCACCAGTCACGACGTATTGAAATTAATTAATTTCGTTGAAAATTTGTTTGTTAATCATCTAAATGCAAAGAATTTCAATGCTTAATCACAAAAACTCTGTTCCAACACGGACATCTGCTGGTGAAATAAGGCTTCTATTAAATGACTTCCAGTAATTATGAGATACCGTATCTAGATTTTTGGATCATTTTGATTAATAATTAATTCAGACTTTTTGACGCTTTTTTATAAAGTTCATATTCGTGACGAAACTCTCTCTTTCTCTCTCTCAACTGTTTAATGTCTTGTTAGCTCTATCTGTACATCCCTCTTCCTCTGGAATGTGTACGTCTGACTGTGTGTGTGTGTGTGTGTGTGTGTGTGTGTGTGTGCACGGCCATATGAATACTGGACTTCCATTCGAATGCACGTGGACTGTTTTTAAATGTATTTATTTGGAGCCCAGGTGTGTGTGTGTGTGCGTGTGCGTGTGTGTGTGTGCGTGTGTGTGTGTGTTAGTTTCTACAATGACTTGAGAAGAAGCCATGTATTAATAACAAAGTATCACATTTATGCTGCAGAACTGTTTTGAGGAACTGATGGTTTGGGTTGTGGACTAGCCGGCTTGCCGTAGGGCGCGGCGGTGCGAATCGGATCGGCAATAAGAATCCCTCTGAATCCAAATAAAAGCTTTATATAGATCTCCTGTGTATGACAACATGTCTGGGTTTGTTTATTTTTTAGTTTGGCTGAGAAATGATTTTTTTTGGTGTCATTTATTTTCTGACATTTAAATGTGTATAAAAC